GCCCAGCAACCCCAGTAACAAAGGCAAGCACATCTCAGGCCAGCCAGGACACCCTACCTGGTAAATAACCAATACAAAAAAGAGCTGGAGGCATGGCCTAAGTGAGAGTGTACCTACTTAACCAGAGTTGAAACCACAGTTCTTGGGGGGTAGGGGAGATACTATCTGCAGAAAAATAGATGGATCAAGGATCATTATATGTTAAGCAAAACAAACCACACTGAAAAGACAAATATTACATTTTCTCTCATGTACAAAATCTAGATTTTAAAAAAGAAACATGAAAAATAAGCCTAGCATGGTAGTTCAAGCCTATAATCTATATACTTAAGAGACAGAGAGGATGGCTGCTCAAGTACAGTCTGGGTGAAAAAAAAAGTTTGTAAGGCTTCAGCTCCACCAATAAACTGAGCATGATGGTATAAGGGTGTCAACCCAGCCATGAATAGCATAAATAGGAGAAGCTCCACTCAGGAATAAATATGAGAAGCTATTTGCTATCTCCAAAATAAGCAGAGCAAAAAGGGCTGGGAGTATGGCTCCAGTAGCAGAGCACTAGCATGGCAAGTATAAGACACTGAGTTAAAACTATACTACTACCTCCCCAAAAAAAAATTCATTGAAAATAATACATTTGCACCAAATAGAGGGAATGAACAGATATGGACACGCACGCGCGCTCGCGCGCGCACACACACACACACACACACACACACACACACACACACACACGGTGATTTATTGTCTAGTCTCCAAGAAAAAGTAAACCTACGTGGGAAAATGTTTTAACTTTTAACTGATTGTATATGCTATTGGTTACAACATCTATAATCAGAATAGCAGATGTACTAGGTGTTTCTCAGCTCCTCTGACTCCCTTGCCTCCCAACTCCTCAGCCTTCCCTGGCCAGGCTAGATAAGCTGGGGGAAAAAATAGCTATGAATACTGGGCTCAGAATTTCTTTATCAAGAATTGTAGTTTTGTTTTTAAAAAAAAAAGTTTACTGAAAAGTAAGAATACATTGAGACAAAAATTTTAGTACACCAAAATGTCTCTGTCTTCTATTGGGAATCTATCTGGGATGATCTGTCAGACTCCCTCAACAACAATTCTATACACACACACTTTTCTCCTCATACATTCCTTCATTCTACTCACTCCCTCCTATCTTCCTACAAAAATTTGGAAATGGCATCTGGTTTGATTCCTAGACTGGAGGGAAGGAAAAATGGAAAGGAATGGACCATTTAATAATAATTACTACCCTTTTACTGGCTATTATTCCATTGTTTGCCTACTTGTTCTACCCTATAAATCCCAGGAGTATTGTCTTTAAAAAAAAAAAAAAAAACCAAAAGACAAAATAAAAACTTGAAAACTTTTAAGCCAGGCACTGGTGGCTCATGCTTGTAATCCTAGCTACTCAGGAGGCTGAGATCTGAGGATCGCAGTACAAAGCCAGCCCGGGCAGGAAAGACTGTGAGACTCCTATCTCCAATAAACCACCAGAAAACCGGAAGTGGCGCTGTAGCTCAAGTGGTAGAGCGCTAGCCTTGAGCTGAAGAGCTGAGGGACAGCGCCCAGGCCCAGAGTTCAAGCCCCACAACCGACCAAAAAAAAAAAAAAAACTTGAAAACTTTTATTTCATTAAATACTGTTTTTACATTAAATATTTAGTTTACTAAACAGGGCTAGATATGGAAGTAAGATTTGCATAGCACCATCTTTATAGTGTTTAAGATGAATTCATTAATTCATTCAACTTAAAAGTTTAGTTCTATTTAGTCCTATACTCTCCTGAAACAGATATGTCATCCTGTTAACTATCTATAACACATACCATTTGCTTTTTGTCATCAGGCATCATTTGCTTTCACTGTGTTCATTATGTTCTCTGCTCCTAATCTTTAGTAAGTTCAAATTTTCCTCTCTTCAAAATATAAAACCAAACACTAAACTACAACCTTTTGTAAGTCCACTAATTTTGCCCACCAGCCATTCTGAACAGAAATACTCCACACCTCCCCTGTAAATGATATTGTATGGACATTCACTATTTTATCTAAATATCTAAGTTTCAAGATCATATGGATGTTAGTTGTTACACTTCCTAATTTAGTCTCCAAAACATACTCCATAATTCCATTATGATTTTACTTCAGATTTTTATTTCCCAATGAAGGAGTCCTAAACGTTTACAAAAATAACTTAGATTTATTTTTTGTTTTTCATAGTATACAAAAAAAAAATCTGGGGGGGGGGGAGGGAGGGTCCAGTCTTGGGGCCTAAACTCTGGGCCCGGGCACTGTCCCTCAGCTCTTCAGCTCAAGGCTAGGGCCCTACCACTTGAGCCACAGTGCCACTTCCGGCTTTTTTCTTTTTGCTTATGTGGTACTGAGGAATCGAACCCAGGGCCTCATGCATGCAAGGCAAGCGCTCTACCACTGAGCCACCTTTCCAGCCCCATATTATACAAAATTAAACAAAAAAAAAAAAAAAATCAACCAATACTCCCTCTCACAAGACTAAAATTTTCCTTTTAATAAACTAAAAATAGGAGATAAAAGTTATAAGAAATATCACATCGATGATTCTCTATGGCATTTCATACTTAGAAGTTCTGTTTCTCTACTAAGATCCCTGAAATATCTAAAGATCATTATATATTACAAAAACAACTTGAAAGCTCAAATGAAAACTTTGGATTTCACAAAGCCAAATAGGATCTTCCCTCTTAGAAGAAAGAAGCCAGGTTTTTATCCTTTTTATCCATAGATACTTGGCAATACTGAATATATGAAAATTTCAAATACCTTTAAGACTTAGGAAAACCAAGTCTTAAACCAGTAATCTTAATTATACTTTTTTAAAACAAATCAAAGACTTTTAAAATTCTGAACTGTTCAATAAGTGAGGTATATAATAATGTCATGAGGTATGAAATTCTTGGGCAGAGTACATTGCTACTAGGCATGAATTTTTTTAAATTCAAATTACCTCTTTTCAAGTTTTTCTAAACAAATTAAAATGCCAAATAACTTCGTTGTTTTATGACTTTTAATAAAATGGAGTAACAAATGCTACTTCCTATTGTTAATATGTTTAACAAAATAACTTCTATGCTTGCTGAACATCATATATAAACCACATTTATCACTCACTAAATCAACATATCACAACTGCCAAATATTCTAAGCACCTCCCAAAATAATAAATAAAAAATAAAGCATGTTCAAGTAAATGCATAAAATTATCAGCACAGTGATAGATTTCCAAACTTTAAAAGCCCAGGCAGGAAAGTCCATGAGACTTATCTCCAATAAACCACCAGAAAAGCGGATAAGGTGCTGTGGCTCAAGCGGTAGAGCCTTGCCTTGAGCTGAAGAGCTGAGGGACAGCGCCCAGCGTCTAAGCTCAAAGTTCAAGCCCCACGACCGACAAAAAAAAAAAAAACAAATAACCATAAGAAACAAAAATAACAAAATATTTTAGAGTATTTCTTTATAAAATGTATTTTAATTAGACAAACACCTATTACTTAATTCTAAATAATACTCCTCCACCCTGCTCAATCCTCAAGTTGTCACAAGAAAATTCATGATACTCCAAAAAGGCTAATATAATTATTGCTATCACTTCATTTAGTATGTTATCCTAGTACTAAGCTCTGCCCATTATAGTGGACACTTAAGACTGTTTACTACTTATACCCCTACCCTCTCCAGTTCCCATCACCACCATTTTACTGGCAGAATATTCACAAGGCTGAAAGCTGCTTTTCATCTCAGCACATAGAATGCTTAAAATCAGATGGCTGGCCACAAACCAGAAGTTAGAAGCTACACAAAAATAAACAACAACTTCCTAAATTGTTCTATTTTCAATCTCTACAGAAAGTAGCATAGTTATTTGTTATAATTTAAGTTGTAGCTAAAAGGTTTTCATCTAATTATATTAATAAATCGATATAATGTAATAATGTTGCCATCAACATTACAGACTAGTGTGCCTTCATAGGTTCAACTCAGAAATGTTCAGTGCTTTTCCTGTTCTTAATTACCGAATTATTTCTCCATATTTTCCTAATTCTAAATCTATGAACAAAAAATAACCCTGAAAATTGACCCTAGAAAAGATACAACAAAATAGTACAAAACATCAACATTAATTATAAATTGTTAGATAACCAAGAGAAAGGTATTTGCCTAAGAACCTCAATCTAAAATATTATGTATACACAATTTTGATAAGCAGAAGTGAACACGGTATTTTCATATCAAAATAGAGAGCTCTCGTCTCACTTCTGACTTGGGATAAAAAATGTCTTAATTCTGTTTATAATGCAAAATATCACTTCAATGAAGTATCTCCTCACAGGTATAACCATATGATTGGCAGATAAAATAATTGCTTTAAAAAATACTTCTGAGTCATTTTGTCCTTACCTGCAGGCATGAACCATTACTGCATGCAGTGACTGTTCCATTTCCTAGCACAGACTTGAAGAAGCATCATATCTCTTTTTCAGAATGTGACTAATCTGTGGGTTTGCAATTCTTAAGCTATTTACAAATGGCACTCCCTTTCCACATAAGAAAATAGTTGTTACAACCAAAAATCAAGTATTTTTCATCTAGATCTTACAAATAACCTTGGTAAATCTCTGTAGCAGCAACCTCAAAATACAGGAACAAAGTCTAATTAAAGAAAGATTTTTGTTTGTTCATTAAATTATTTTTTAAAGCCTCCAACAGCTGTCACCCATGAACGAGCAGTCCACTGTGTTATGGTGTGAGCATGCTGCAGCTGCTCAGACTTCACTGTTTTTTTTTTAATCAATTATCCTTTACAAAAGCCGAACCGATTCCCAAATACACATCTTCAATACAGCACAATACCAGCATGCAATACATTAAACAGCAAACTTGATGAGAAAAAAAAAGTCCTGTTTCTTAGCAATGCTACACCATTAATTGTTCATGCAAGAGATGTAGCTGTACCTTTCTGAAGAGGACGACTTCTCAGAGTTAACTGACATCAGCAGCTCAATCTTCTGCTTGATTTCTGGAAAAATCAGAAAATATTCACAACCAAGATTGCCCGCCCTCGCTTCTAAGCTTTATATCAAGAGATTTTTCTTCCTTAATCCCTTTTGTTCAGAATGAGGCCACAAGATTCACAGTACTTCTGTTAAGACTGGGATTCAATGGTGCTATAAAGGGAAAAAGCTCCAGAGGCATCAGGCCTTGCTAAACTATGCACATGACTGTTTATGAAAGCAGGAAGTACCATTTCTTTTTAAGCAGAGGGGTGTTCTCTTTTTTTAAGGTAGAACTAGCATCGTTCTACAAGAAGGATTTAAATTTTGCAAATTAAAACACAACCAAGAAAATGCTAACATCAGAATTCAATATAATACATAATCTGAGAAGGCTACATAATAATATTTCAGTCTTCAATGAGCAAATAGGCAACCCTTGGCTGCTTCTCTTTCACTAGCCCTAAAAAATATGGCTCAGTGAATCATTTTTGTCACTTAAAATGAAATATTAAAACAGACCCAAATTTAACGATTAAAACATGTTTAACCCTTTTATAATTTGATTGCTATTAATTAAAGAAATGTTTAATGTCTAGTTTCTAATTCCTTTGGAAAAAGACTACTTATTTTACACCTTAATTTCCGCCTCCTCCTTCACAGTACAGTACAAGTGAAAAGCAACACCCAGTTACCGAACAGAGAGATAATATTCTTGTCCTTTTAGGAAAGGACTGGCAATGGCACCTAAATAAAAATGTAAGCATCAGTTCACTTTAATTAAAAAATGATTGGACACCAATCTGGAAAGAAGATAACAAACTAGAAGGGTGATAATAGAGGGAGAAAGAAAAGAAAGAAATTTTTCACCTTTCCTTTAAAATACTAACCATTTGTATAAAGCACATAATTTTAAATGAATAAAACACAATCCTATTATTTCATGTATGAAACTATTTCTTATTCCTAAAAAGTATTTCAAAGTGGATTTTAAAAATTAAAGATTTCATAATAAAAAGTTTACATACTAAAAAGAAGTCACAGACAAGATTTCATAGCAGACCTCAGTAATACTTTAAATTTTTATTCAGAGGGGTAAATAATATTTGTAAGAATGCTGATTACATAAATCAAAGCAAAATAGGAAAAAAAGAAACAGAAAAACCAGTATAAATGCTATACTTGTATAGAATAATATTGTCAAAATTGTTAAAATAAAGGATTCTCCAAATTGTTTAAGCTTGTAACTTCATCCAATGGATGTTATAAAATTGGTAACAACTGAGATGAAAATAATAACTTACCTTGAGAATTCTTAGGTGAATTACAAAGTAGAAAAAGTGACATAGTTGGTATTCAGTAAAAGACCCTCCCCATTTGAAAAAGAGTGTTAAAAAGTTAGAGCCCTGCCTTGGATTTAGAAATAAAGTCCTCCACCTTTTTTTGGTGTACGGGCCAGTTCTGGGGCATGAACTCGGGGCTTCACACTCTTGTTAGTTTTTTTGCTCAACAATGGTGCTCTGCCACTTGAACCACGCCTACACTTCTGGCTTTTTGCTAGTTAACTGGAGTCTCTTGGATTTCTCTGCCAGAGATGGCTTCCAACCTGGATCCTCTGATCTCCTAAGTAGGTAGGATTACAGGTATGAAACATCTTAATAGTGAATCTCTATCATTTTTAATAGTCATTTGACCTTAAGAGAAATTACTTAACACTCTATAAAGCCTCCATATCTTCCTGTAAAATGGGGAGTAAGAATTCCTATTGGAAAAGCTGATATGAAGATTTAAGAAAATAATCCATGAAAAGCTGATATGAAGATTTAAGAAAATAATCCATGAAAGTCCAATATTTCTGTTTGGTATGTGGTAAATTCTCTATCAATGCCTAGCAAAGGATAGTATTGCTTCAATATTGAAGCAATACTGACGTAGTCATGAAACCTGCCAATTTAGGTAGGTTTTCCACATTTTAAATCTTTCTCTCTCTTTATCATCAATTAAACATGTATGTTTAAAAAAAAAAATCACTATAAGCTAGGTGCCAGTAGTTCACACCAGTAATCCTATCTCTACAAGAGACTGAGATCTGAGGATCGCAGTTCAAAGCCAGCCCAGGCAGGAAAGTCTGAGAGACCTTTATTTCCAATTAACCATCAAACAGCTAGAAAGTGGAGCTATAACTCAAGTGGCAGAGCACTAACCTTGAGTACAGGAAAAGGGAAAGCACCCAGGCCCTGAGTTCAAGTCCCTGGTAAAATAAATAAATAAATAAGTGCCAATACATGGGCTAGGAAGGTGGCTCAGTGGTACAGTGCTTGCCTTGCATGCTTGAAGCCCTGGGTTCGATTCCTTAGCACCACATAATCAGAAAAAGCTGGAAGTGGTATTGTGGCTCAAGTGGTAGAACACTGGTCTTAATGAGCTAAAGAGCTGAGGGACAGTGCCCAGGCCCAGAGTTCAGGTCCCAGGACTGACAAAAAAAAAAGTTTCCAACATCACTTTCACATTTTCTTAATTAAGGTTTGTTTATATTTCCTGAAGGAATAAAGAATTCAGGAATGGTGACAAATACTATGTCAACAGCATATATTCTGTGTATGATACTTCTCCATAATTTACACCATTCCTGGGTCTGGTTACTCCTCACATTCATTAAGTAACTATCTCTGGTGAGATCAAGACATTGCATTCATAAACTGCTGTGGTAAATGGCAGCTCATTAGTACAAAAGTAAAAATAAAAGAAATTCATAATGTTAAAGTTCTATCTCTCTTAAACACACACACACACACACACACACATATATATATATATAATCCTGAGGAGGAACTCTGATGTCCATATTGATATGACTACCTAAAACTACTAGTTGAGAACCTAGGAATCCTCAATCCATGGTCTCCTGAACCTCTAAGTCACTTTCCCCCATGACCACCCTTAGAATACTTGAGGGACATACTGTAAATATTTCTTCCCAGGTAATCAACTGTTACTGAAAACATGGGAGCATTTAGTATACTACACTTTTTCTACAAATAATCATTTTATTTCTAGTCTTTCCTACATATGACTTTTTCAAATCTTCATCCTATTTTCCTCTATTATGCTTTATAACAGCATTCTGAATGCACTCTAGAATGTACTTTAATCTGTGAATTGTTATATACCAATTCAGTAGGCTTTTATAAGTCACATTTATTTTAAAGTCATATATCCTACCCTACCCCCACAACTTTAAGAAGATCCTTTACTATCACTACTTTCTCCAAAGTAGTAGGCTTTACAGCCTTGCGATTATCTATTAATTCAAAGATACAGTCTCCATTTATAATTTAGACAAATAACTACTTGAAAAAGCCCTAAGACTGCTTCCTTTCAACCTTTATCTGTATTCTTAGTGCTCTCTGTCTAACCACACTGCTACAATTAAAAAATGCTTGAATATACTTGATAGTACAGCTTTCAAGCCTTTACATCTTTACCACTGCCCTTATCATCCCGTTTCTATTCCCACCTGAAAACCATATATCCCTTACTTTACACAGAAAATCTGCAAGTGGTTGTGGTGAGATTTCATTATAATTTTGTTTTTATTTCTATGATACATTTAGAGAAGTTTTATGATTTTGGTTTGTTTTGGTGACACTGGGTTTTGAATTTGGAGCCACTACCTGAAGTGCTTTCTCTATCACATAAGCCACATCCTACAGCCCCTTTTTACTGTATGTCTGTAGGCCTGGGCTGCAATCTTCCTATCTGTGCTTCCAGGAGTTGCTGGGGATAACAGGTACACACCACTGTGACTAACCATTGGTTGAGATAAGAGTCTCCCTAACTTCTTTTGTCTATGGCTGACCACAAAATGTGATTCCTCAGATCTCTGCCTCACCAAGTAGCTGGGATTACAGAATTGAGCCATAGGACCTTGCTTTATTTTTCTTTAACACAAACAGTAGGGGCTGAGAAGGTGGCTCAGTGATAGAGTGCTTGCCTTGCAAGCATGCATGAGGCCCTGGGTTCAATTCCTCAGTACCACATAATCAGAAAAAGCCAGAAGTGACACTGTGGCTCAAGTGACAGAGTGCTTGCCTTGAGCTGAAGAGCTGAGGAACAGCACCCAAGCCCAGAGTTTAGGTCCCAAAACCGACCCCCCCAAAAAAAAGATAGTAAAGGCCCTGAGTTCACTCCTTAGTATGTACTACCACCAAAAAAATAAATAATTAATTAATCATTAATTAAACACCCACACATGTCTTCCTATTTTGCCCAGACTGGCCCTAAACTCCTGGCTCAAGCAATTCTATTGCCTTGGTCTCCAGAGTAAAGGGAATGGAGCTATAGGCATACACCACCACACTCAGCTATTATTTATTCTTTCAATGCTTTTGTTTTACTACTTTCATAATTATAGATATTGCACAGGCATATTTTTTACCAATCTCTTTATTTTAATATCAATGATACCTGTAGGACCTTTATCAGTCATCTACTCTTTATAACTATAAAGGCAAATGATAAACTGTATGTGAATGTTAAGAGGTAACTTAAAAGATTCTTTTGCTAGGAATGTGAATTAACTAAATGCTGGACACTCAGCCCACCCTTTGCATCTGTGTTCTTTTGTCTAAGCCATTCTCTCCTGCAGTCACTTTATAAATCACCTTAGGCTGCTAACAAGATTCACCAGTAAGCAACTTGTGACAAAGGCAAAGTACAACTCAAACAGGCAGTGCCTTCTAACTATCTTGAAAAGCCCACCAGGCAATTTCAGGTAAAGTGATAACTTCCCCAAGACAAAGGAAGTCCTTCCAAAAACAAAGATTGATATTATGGTCATCCAGGCCATACCAGTAACCTGAAATTGTTTTAACCTTTATCACTCCAACCCCAATTCTTATTTTTTGGCTTAAAGCCAATACCAATACACCATGGCCACATGTAATAGATTTTCTCTTTGTAATAGATGCTCTCTGTCCTCCTCTGTCTCATGAGCTTTGGTCCTGAATTTTAAGCCAGTTTCACTGTCAGTCCAATAGTCTTTTCTCTAAACTGAAATTCACATATCCCCCAACTTCTACTAGCCAGTTTCAATGAATCCTTGAATACAATATCTAAAACTGAAAAAAAAATTCTCAACCTAATGTGCATGTCCATGTCATGTTACTTTTTTGTAATGAGGACTAAACTCAGG